CATACACACATACCACACACACCACACACACACCACACACACACACACACCACACACATATACCCCACACATACACACATACCACACACAACACACATACCACACTCACACCACACACACTCACACCACACACATATACCCCACACATACACACATACCACACACACCACACACACACCACACACACACACACCACACACACACACACACACACACACACACACACACACAGGTAGTCAGAGATGGGAGTTGTTCTAAGATGCTGGTCAGTCAGGAAGTACAGCGCCTCACAGCCACGGCCTCCTCCCCATCACTGAAGAGAAATCAGATTCATCAAGTACCCTGGTTCTGCTGCCATAGCATAGAAATCCCCTTCTGGCTGTTTGTAAACAACTCCTATCTTTCCCAGGAAAGGTGCCCAGTGGGCACATTATTCTCATCCTGGGAGGGGGGGGGGCGTTAGGACATGACAGCCACTTTCCCACCTCCAGAGAGTTGCCCTAGAGGGGAAGAGAGGTGCATTTAAGGCAAAGGGGCTGGGGCTTGGGTAGCGCTGACACCCGAGGCTCTGCAACCCCGCTGTCAGTGGCCAAAGCTAAACCTTATCCCCCAACAGTGTCCGGGACAGGGTGGCATTGCCACCCTTCCCTGGAGAAGAAGGAAGGTAGCGGAATTCCTCCCTTGCCTTCCTGAGGTGCCCCCACCTCCATCCCTGTCCCTCCTCCAGGCTGGGATTTTTGGCTACCTACAGTGCTGTAGCTCTCAGCTACTCACTCTTCCTGCCACTGACGGGTGAGCAGCTTTCTTGCCTTGCCTTCATCACTATTCATGGAGCGCCCCGCTGCTGCTTCAACCCCCCACCCTCCAACCCCACCCCCGCCCTCCGCAGGCAAAAGGTTACATGAATATGATTACTGCCATCCTTTGCCTTAGAAGCAGCCTAGGCCCGCTCCATTTGGGGGTCCAGAAGGGCAGACCATTGAGCAGCCAGTGCCAGGAGGCTGCAAGGAGGAAGCCAAGACCCCGCTACTGGGATGTGTTGGGCGCTGGGAGGGGACTCGTCCCAGAGGGAGTCCTGGTATCTCACCTACACTTACCCTTGCCCTTTCCCCAGGCAAGCCGGAAGAAGGGTGCCCTGCGGAGAATTTACCCTTCTGGCAAGGAAAGCCTGTGGAAGGAGGGGGAGGGGATGGTTGAACTGATAAGTGAGTCAAACGCCCTTAGGTGCACATGTTACACCCAAGCGGCAGAAGAGTCAGATGCTGAGAGCTTCCAAGATCCCCGGAGTGAGCAGGGGTGGGGCCTTCAGACACCCCTGAGCAACCACGGGACCTGCTGCTTCCTTGCACTTAGGAGCATGGAGGTAATCATCTCCGGACTGGGGGGATGGGTAGAGACTTTGCGGGCATTATCTGTAGGAATTCAGTTGAAAGCTTCCCCCGAGTCACCTGCGGCCCCTGTTTTTGTGTCACAGTGTCTACCCTTCATGCTTGAACAGGGCAGAGCATGATTTTCAAATCGGATGCTGTTTCTCTTTCTCCTTCTACCCCGGCTTTGGAATCCTCTCCCCTTTCTTTGCCATAAATAACCTTCTTACCTTAATGCCCCGTGTTAGAGCTGCCAAACTGGAGTTTAAGAGGTTTACTGCGCCCCTCGCTTTCCATTTGGGGATCTTAAGATGATTCTTCGGATGAAAAGTTATCTGCCTCGTGCTTTCCTTTGGACAAAGATGGAGTTCAAGGCTCTCTTAATGGCCCCACAAAGTGGTTGGGTGATGATTGGTTTCCTGGCATCCCTGTGCAGGGAGATTGAGAAACTTGTGCTTAATTCTTCTTCAATCAAGCGGCAAGGTCAGGTGATGGGGCTGCCAAGACTTCTCCCTGTAGTTGCTAGCCTGCCGGTCATGGCTTCAGGCATCCATTCCTTTGTTACCTGTCCTGACACTGTGAGTCATCAAACCATCACACTCGTAAAGAAAAGTGTATTTCCTAAAGACAGGAAATTGATGACAGTACTTTTGTCTGGTCATTCCTTTCAGAGGTATTGTGAGGCGTATCCATTCAAAAGGCTCTTTAGCCTGTCATACTGTCAAATGGTGGGTATGAGGAAAGACATGTGTTTGCATTTGTGTGTCAGATCCTGACATTTGTATTTATTTGTACATATGTATTTTGTTTGTTCAAATAAATGTTTCATCAGATGTGGAGTGCAGTCGGGAGACTCAGAGAGGAAGCTGGTACAATTCACAAGCAAGTGAAATATTTCTCAATAAGACTTAGGATTCTGACTTCTAGTTAATTGTGAACATGATCTGGAGGAAGAACCAGCACCTAGGGGAGCTAGGTCTGTATTTATCTTTTAATGTTATTGTTAGATTATACAGTTTACTGCATAAATAATTGAAATGGTAGTAATAACAATTTAGGGACCATTCAACTGTTGTGCACGCTGTATTTCATTGGTGCTTACTTTTCTGAACCGCGCATACATCCACAACAATTCCCTGTTTAATGAACATACAGTGGTAAATTCAAAATGAAAGGTTTTTCAAATGGATACATTTTTTTCTTAATTCATCGCATTTAAAAGCACTCTTCATTGTCTGTTTATTAAAATACCACCCAGCCACCCTTAGAGCAAACCTTTTTCCATACTGCTTTTATGTTTTAAAACTGAAATTTTAATATTCTATTACTAGGAAGGAAAGAGAAACCTAGAACATTTAAATATATCAGTTTAACCTGAATAGCTATGTATTGTGTTTTTCTGAATGTTTGGCTCTATATTTAAGGTATAACTGAAAATATATAAATTAGTATAATATATTTGAGTAATAATTTTTATTTTATTTTTATTTTCGAGATTATAATATACATTTCTTTTTTCCTCTAAACCATTCCATTTGACCGTCTTTTCTCTCTTTCAAATTCATGATTTCTTTTTCATTAAATTTTATTACATATGTATGCATGTGTACAAATTTATTCCTAAATATAGTCAGTTCAATCCATATAATATTACTTGTTGTATGTTTTCAGGGCTGACCCTTTGGTCTTGGATAACCAGCTGGCATCTGCTCCCTGGAGAAGACTATTTCTGCTACTCTCCCATTTCCCAGCTGCCTCTTGTTCTTCGTATGGGCTTGAGGCTTTGTGGTCTTTTCCACGACCACTTTGACATGTCCATTCATGTGGTCCTTCGTCAGCCCACGTTTGGGCAGTCCTGTTAGTGGGACTGCATGGGTATAGCTTCTAACATTGCAAGAAAACAAACTTACAGTGAAGCCCCTGACCCTCTGGCTCTTAAAATCTTTCTGCCTCCTCTTCTGCAATATCCCCTGAGCCTCAGTCATGGGAGTATTTTGTAGATATCCATTGGGACTGGGCTCCACGATTCTACATTTTGATTGGTTGTAGTTTTCTGTAGTGATCTCTGTCTGTTGCAAAGAGAAGTTTCCCTGGTAAGGGGTGAAGACTGCACTCATCTGTGGGCATAAGGACACATGTTTAGACGTGGGGATTATGCTAGTTTAGTGAATTTGTGTTTGTAGATTCTCCTCCTGTATCCACGACTTCACTAGCCCTGGGTAGCTGGCTAGGTTTCCAGAACCAGGAATGGCTTCCTTCTCAATGAGCACATCTTAA